CAAAATCCATAAACTGCGCCACAGCGACGGCAGGACTTTGGTTCCGAGAAGTGATATAGGGGGCAGGATGGGAAAATTAGTGGTGGGTGGCAGGAAGTGATAACAGCTAATAGCATAGTCCCGAAATTCACAGCAGAGTTGTAGCAACACTGGAGAAGTGCTCCAACACGTAATTTAAACGTGCTTAGGGAACACAAAAGAGGGGTTTAATTTCCTACAGTGTCCTACAAAGAGTCAGAATATGCCCACATCACCGTGGCCAAGGAGTTGATGGGCAAAGGCTTAGTGAGTCAAGATGTTTCTATGCCGCAGCGAAATCCCTCAGTTTAGCGGTCGAAATTGCTCCCACCGCTGAAAGTTCAAGCTCCAAGAGAATGTATGGAGTTGTTGGCCAGCAACAATGATTTCAATATTTTCAGTACCGAAATTCTTCCAACAGCTCTGCTGTCCCATTTCCAACGAATGGTGCTTTCAGAATTATGATGAGCACGAAGCGTATGCAAATGTTCATGGAGAGGGAGAAACATGATGATATGCTCCGTTTTCGAAAAAAAATTGAATTAGGCCAATTGTAAGTGTTAGTGCTCAGCACACATATCCTGTCAGTTATCAGTACCATAGATTTAACCATGCGCGCAGTAATGCGTGTCAGCCAAACTGATGAAATTACAATCCGAAAAAAACTAGAAGGTTCTCTGTTTTGAATGAGCACAACAGCTCTGTGGCTCAATCACTGCAAAAAATCGCTCGTCGTGGAAAATCATGAAAATGACGTGGAGAATTTTAGACTGTTCAGCTCTTGCGAAAATTCGCCCGTCTTGAAAATCACAAAAAATACGCGAAGGTTTTCTGGCTCTTCAGCTCTCTCTCTTCAAAGCTCATAGCCTCATTAAGACATAACCTAGAGCAAAGATCTACAGGGCGTTGGGAAGAAAGTTATTCTCGTTTTGAAAAGCACCACTTTTTTGCAGCTGTGGCGAAAATTCGCCAGTTTAATTTTCTAATTGAAAGCTAGCTTTCGCCATAATGAGGATCTCCCTCAACTCACACTTGCATCTAGAACGCTCGGTAGGCCTCCCATAGACCTCCTCTTTACGTAGGAAATATGAGCTGCAGCAGAGAGGCGCTGTTCAACACCATGGAGTGTGCCATGTACTTGACTTCCTTTCCGATATCATTCAGCGTACAAGCCAGGTCCCTCCTGTACTGATCTCAGCAAATGCAACCCTCCCCTTAGACAAAACGCCAAATACGAACCTCTCGCAGCATATTCCGCAACCTATGCTTGACCCTGCCCCACAGTCGGCTTTTGTGCCTCTTCAGAAGTTAACAAGGCTTTGTATGTTACACTGCTCATCCGGACTGCTTCATCTTCGACCCACTTTCATATCGCAACTGCGGTCGTTGAGTAAACGGCTCAGTCTTCCCTTAACACCCAGTCGAACAGCGCCAGAAAGCCGACAAATCAATGAGCTCACAGATCGATGATTATCAACAGATTGATTTGCCCCTAATCCTTTCCATCTATTTTATTCTCCGCATCTTATGGAGGAAGCTAGACAAGTGGCTTTCATTTCGCAGTTTGCAATCGCGCAATTCGGTCGAGGCCTCCAAAAGGTACTGCTCCTCAAAAGCTACCCTTCATGCATGCGTATTCACATACTTTGCAGATGTGGACCCGATTCCTTACCGTTATACTAGTTTCATTGCTCATGGATGAAGCAATCCCTAAAGGAGGAGGAGCGGGAGGGCACAGTGGAGGAGGAGGGCACAGTGGAGGAGGGGCGCACGTTGGAGGAGAATTCGCAGGAGGATTTTTAGGTGGAATCATAGCAGGAATATTTCTAGGGAGCTGGGAAAGGCAACCACCGCAGTTTGCAATCGCGTAATTCGGTCGACATCCCCAAAAGGTATGCTCCTCTAAGGATAGGCTTAATGCATGCGTATTCACATACTTTGCAGATGTGGACCCGATTCCTTACCGTTATTGGAGGAGGATTGGCAGGAGGATTTTTAGGTGGAATCATATATGGAATCATATATGGAATATTTCAAGGGAGCTGGGAAAGGCAACCACCGCCAAAACGACCAGGCCAGGGCTTCGGTGAGTTCTTTCTACATGAAAATTGTGTATGTTATTCTCATCCATGCCGTTTCAGGAAGTCGTGGAGGCTTCGGCGGGTGTAGTTAGTTAACGCAGAAGTAGGCGTTTTAAATTCAAAGAATAATTGTAAGTAAGTATAAAGTAAAGGCTGTGATCGACATCAAGTTGGAAACGACGCATTTTAGCCCAGTAAAAGACTGTGACTGCACTTCATAACTTGTCAAAGAGGGTAGACCGCTTCATCAACCTCCTGTGGCCGCGATGAGGCAGTATGGGCATTGTTTTGTCCGCGCACCGCCTTCGCTTTTCCTTGGCCCTGTGAGTAAAACGACCGCTTTCGTTGCGGAAAAGGTGACTCACTCCTGAAACGAGTGTATCGGCCCGCGACAAGGCAAAACCAACCCGCTGAGCAAGCCACTGCCATGTCAAACGGCTCATCGGTGCGGTTTGCATCCAGCACAGTGAAGTCAGTCTCTCAAGCACACACCCCTCTACCCCTTGATTACAGCTGTCTTTCATATGAATGAAACTAGCTGTTGATTGAGGATGATGCCCCCTGGCTCGGCTTCTTTGGAGAAACTGAGGAAAGTGTAGGGAAGCCAATACAAACACCCCTCTCTTCGCCACGAAAATGATTTCACTCTGTGGATGCGTAAATACCTGACCTACCAGTGGGGGGGGGGTAGCAAATGAAAACCTACTGGAAAGACCCAGTGAGAACCAGTGGGCACTCAGCAAGCATTGGACGAGCGCAGATACCTTTAATGCGGGGTCGAAAGAGCACAGCAAATGGTAATGGATATCTACTTACAATAGTTGGAGATAGACCAGACAAGACGAGGTCAGAGTCGAGTCACAACTTGCTAGCGTTCTCACCATGCACTTTGAGTGGCAAAGTGGTATAGTGTATTCGGCTAAGAGATCCATACGGGAAATACAGTGGACATAGTAATTACGAAATGTACCTTCGTAGTGACTGTGGATCATAAGGAACAGCACGATACAATAATGTTTAACAGTTCGAGAATGTGCTACCATGGTTATCCGCAACCCCACTCTCGTCAATACTGTGACGGCGCGCAGCTCCTCATGTCAACGTCCTGCCGGTATTCCTAGTACTCACGGTCTTCTCGACTTTTTTTACTTGGCTCTTCTGTGCAACTGCCGACTACATATTGCTCGTGTCCATCCCTGTGGCGAGGGGTGAACGTATTGCTTTTTTGTGGTGTTCGCCACCGAACTTGGTAAATTTTTGTTTATTCACCGGATCGAAATCGATAGCTCAATGATTGATACCTTGCCGGCTGATCATCCTTGCTCACCACCAGTTTATTATGATTTCTCCGTCTCGTTCGTCATCAGTTCCAGTGAAACGCTCGCGCGCTGTCGTCTCGCCTCAAGTCTCCGATTCGGCACTGGACAAGCTGCAGAACTACCATTTCGACCATGAAGTCCCGCCTTATATAAAGACCAGTCGGATCGGCTGGCTTCGCCGACCGATCCTCCTTCCGCGTGTGAAGTGGGTCTCGTTGAGAAGTTTTCCATGAGAGGGAGGGCCAGTCAGATCGACCGGCTTCGGCGGCCGAATGGTCAATAAAAATATTATTTTGAGAATCCCTCCCTAGGGGACAGTGATCGAAATTTTCTATGCGGCACTCCCGTTGGTGATGAGGAATCGCAGAATAAACTATTGCCGACTGCATACTGTAGTTCGCTGCGGACGGTGGGGCGTGTCAGTGCGGCTGCGTTTGGCGCGGTGCCAAACTCAGCCGCACTGACACGCCCAACCAGTCATTGAAGCGGGCAGGTTACAGTACTGTATCATATGCTTCGTATTACTAGTCTTCTACCAGTTTTGTCGCGATAGGATGACACACTCATACTGGCTGACACGCCCAACCGTTCGCAGAGAACTAGGGTGTACCAACCATTTGATATACTCCCTACGGTTATCCCTCACTAACTTCATCTGCCAAACCGTTCCTCAGTTTCACCTTACTCCCCATTTCGTGGGGTTTTTCGAGTGCATTTGAGGGTTTTTGTCCTCGGCACCGTTCACCTCGGCAAAAGCCATCAGGGCTGTGCTTCATTAATGTCGTCCGCCAACGGATTGCCTATCGCATGCCACCTTTTCCGCTCTCGGGACTCTCTTGGAACCGAACTGCGACTTTTCGAATGTCTTGTAGCAAGCACCGCCCAACAATAGAGCGCGCCGCCGAGAACAGGTTTGTCTCTCTCATTTCGTCCGCCAACTGATTGCTTATCGTTTGCCACTTTTTCCACCCTCGGGGCTCTTTTGGAACCAAACTACAAATTTTTGAAATATGTAGCTGACAACTGTACGCACGCCCCGCCCACAGTGCACGGGGCTTAACTTAGTTCATCTGTGTTCCGTACATCTCGACCCATGCCCTACCCAACCCACTCTTGACCCGCCCCCACCAACTGGCTCTTCAGGTGATTCCGAATTTTCGGACAGGCAGACACACAAAAAGACAGACAGACAGACAGACAGACAGACAGACAGACAGACAGACAGACAGACAGATAGACGTTACCGTTTATACATAGTAGGATGGTTTTTGATGTATTGGTTGACACAAGGCGCGAGCTCCTCGATATCGTGAGAAAAAACGACATGGTTCAGGAGGAGAATCGGAAGCTCAGGGAGGAAAACTCATCGCATTCTGTTTTTTCGAATGGTGTTACACAGTTTGCTATTGATCGTGCAAATGATGTTTCTGATGATCCTGACATGAAACGGTCTATCACTGTTTCGGGAGTTCCTCAATGTAACTCGCATAGGGCCCAGGAAGCAGTTAATCATGATGTCTAATGTATCGATTTTCTACTTGACTTTCTGAGTGTCGAATGCCTTCCTGTTTCACTCTACTGTATGGGTAAGAAAGATCCACAAAAACCAAGGCTTATCAAAGTGATTTTACCCAGTAGTTAATTTCAAAAAGAGGTTTTACGACAGGCTCCTCGCCTGCGTTTCTTTTCTCATTAAAGGGTTTTCATACGCCCTTCACTTCCACCAGAAGAGAGAAGACGCAGGCGAGATACATGGCTCAGTCGCCATAATAAGTCTGGAGCGAATTAACGAAATGCTTTGCCTGTCTCGGAAAACATCTAGCCGTTCCTCGGTTTTGCGCTTCTTTTCTTCTGACCAATATACGTCCACTTCACAAAAATGCTACTTGCTTGGCGTATCCGTCAGCAAGTAGCATATCCGTGAAGTGAACGTATATTGGTCAGAAGACAAGAATTTGAGTACAGTATTGTTGCTGTAACTACAATCTGGCTCAAATCCAACGTCCTGTTTGAGTCACTATTGGGGGACTTTGTTCTGGCTACATCATATTTAGGTGCGATAGAAAAAGAAAAAAGAGTGGTGGTGTGGCCTTGTAAAGCAAGCTTTGTTACCTAGCCTGGTGTTTTCTCAATGCATAATGGATGGTTATGAGGTTCTCGTGGTCGATCTTTACAATACTGATTCTTCTTTTCGGGTAATTTTAGTATATAGAGTCCCTAGTTGTAACTCAGAAAAGACCAGAAAGATGACCAAATGTGTTAGTGATCTCCCTTCTTCTCAGGCTAGCTGTCTCCTTATGGGAGATTTCAACTTTTTAGACCTTGCGTGGTTTCCTAAACCCTGCGGTCACTGCGGTAAATCACAGGTTTTTCTCACTATGCTTCTCAATCACGAGTACTTTCAATTTGTCGATTTTTGTACTGGAATCGTAGCCTTCTTGATCTCATTCTTTGCAATGACAAATCCGCTATTCGCAATTCGGAGCTGAGTGCACCGTTATGCAGTAGCGATCAACGATAACCTTTAATTTTGAAATCAAAATTTGTGCTCAAACATGAATTCAGAAGTGAAAACTATCTCAGGGTTCATTCATATTTGGTTAGTATTGAATGGATAGGGTGCTTCAGTGGATGTGAGGACACGCATGAGATGTACGAGTTGTTTTTATTCGTCCTCAAGCACTGTATTCAATAGTTCGCTCCGCAGAAAAGATTTCCAGTGTCACGGAATAAGTTGCAGCCCCATTTGCACAGACTTTTTAGTAAGAAAATTTTTTCTTGCAGAAGAGCCAAGATAAGTAATGATTCAAAGAATTGGTTCACCTACAATCTTCTGTCGCAGAATTTTTCACAAATGTATATAAGTTCAATTGTGCTGTTGAGAAAAAATAGTGGAGTCGCTAAAGAAGCGCTTTCTTCCTAATTATATCAAAGCTCGGTTATGTTCTAGAAGCGCAATTTCCATTCTTGCTAAGTCTGACGGTTAGCTGGCTATTACTGACATCGACAAGGCGGAAACTTCAGCTGATATAGCCAAAAGATATACGTAAAACATGATGGAGCTCATGCAGGAGCTCCTCTGGAGTCAGAGTTCCGTAAGTAACATGGAAAACATAGGGCTGTTCAAACACGATGATATTCTCAAGCTCCTCTCTGAGTGGCCTTCTAAATTCTCTCATACTCTACCCCTGATGGTATATCTTTCATTTTTATCAAGAAAGTTGCTGCCTATCTCGTTGGGCCGCTAGAGCTTTTGTTTCATAGGAATTTGTTGTACGCTTAGGTTCCTTCTGGGTGGAAGCATTCGTTTGCTCGCCGTTATTCAAGAAACCTCCTCACAACGACCCAGGGAGTCATAGGCCTATAAGCATCACATCTGTATTTTGCACACTATTCGAAAAAATTATCAAAGAATTAGTTGTGAAACACCTTGAGATTAATGAGGACTTGCCTGAGTGCCAGCATGTGTTCAAGAAGGGAAGGTCTACGGTCTCTTGAATGCTCTTGTCACTTAATGACTGGACAGTTGCTCTGAACCAAAAATCTAGTGTGAACATAATATATTTTGTTTTTTCGAAAGTATTTTATAAGGTCTGCCACCAAAGAGACGTTGTATAAATCACACATGATGGTATCCATCCTGAGATTGTTCATTGTTTCATTCATCATTTTTATCCGACCGCACTTTCCAAGTTAGGACTGATAATTCTTTTTCCTCGGTAAAACATCGTACGAGTGGTGTTTCTCAGGGTGGAGTATTGTCTCCTTCCCTTTTTCGTCCGCACCTTTGAACTTCCCTTGTTGCTCAAAAATATTGCAATTACGTGCCAGATGTCTGCCGATGATATCAAAATCTACAAGCCTGTTGATTCCCCGAGCAATTCCTTGTCAGTTCAAAAAGCCGTTGAAACAGAATATGAGTGGTCTGTGATTTGAGCTCTCCCTATCAGCCTTCAAAAAAACTTTGCATTCAGGTAAGGGTAATTTCTAATCACAGGTTACTTTTATAACAGCATTCCTCACTCAATTATTAGAAATCAAATGTTAAGTTTGGATTCTCTTGGAAAGGGTAGTTTGAGGAATGACTTGATTACTTTATACAAAACCATTCGGGGAACCATGCTTTTTGTTGCCCCTAAACTCTTCTCCTTTTCTGCATCGTCCACTAAAGATGAGATTATCAAGCTTCGCTTCAGTAAGCCAGGGCTTCGGTTCGTAGTCACTTTTTTAAACAACGTGCTCGCAGTGAGTACGCCAAATTTAGCAAACGCAGTCCTTCACCTCTTAGCTATTCCTCCTTCAGACGAAAAGTTTCCCATTATCTCAAGCACATCAGCTAGTTGTATTTGCTTCTTGTTGTTTTCTCTTGCATCCACCTCGCATTTATCTCATTACTGGTGTTTTTTTCTACTTGACTTGTCGTTTTAACATATAATCTCTTAGATATGACATTATGGTCATGTTCTTCTTATGTTGAATCTCATCTCAATCTCGTTTCGTTGTTCATTGTCCCAGTTATTCACATGTCCATCCCGTAATAAATAAATGGGTGGACCACAATCCCTCGATTATGTTAATTATGTTAATTGATTAGATGTCAGTGGTATCGCACGGTGACCGCTCTTACCTCTCGAAACTATGTTTGAGGATTCCTGCTAAATACACAGGCTCGTGTGGACGGAGACGAGGAACTAGCTCATTCACTCGCCTCTGCTTTCCGCCTGGAGATGAGCGGTGCATCTATGAGTAAGGCACAGTGGTTAAAATGGGTTGTGTAGAAACAGAATCGTCCGGAGCTGGTGGGCGTCGTCTGCGACATACTTGCGGCGGGAAGACGATCACGCGCCTGGCCGTTTGAATGGGGATGTTGAACGGACGGTAAAGATTGGTATCACCCAGGAACGAGTCTTGTGTTCAAGTACGGTCGAACTTTTGGATTTCCTTATTTTTTTTCCACAGAGAATGAACAAGTTAGTTAGAGCATGAAGCTCTTTAGGGTCTTTAACGTTTGCTCAGGTTGTCATCCTTCGCAGCAGCTCACAGGGAAACTTGAGCATTCTCTATCGATGTTGACGCTGACGCATGCGCGAATCATGTGAACCACAGGGAGAATAACTGCATTATTTGTTTTCTATTGTATTTATTTATTTCCTGAAAGTGCGTCCATAGATTCGCTAAACAATTGTGTTAATAACGAGAGAAACTTTCTTAGATATTCAATTATTTATGGAATCTGGTGAACGCTGCGGATATAAGCTGCAGTGGGTCAATTGCTCCAATCGCAAAACTACCGGCTAGCAAATGCACCTCCGTGAGCTGATGCGTCATTTGTCGCGTGATGCGCCGCGTGCTGCGGGCGCTGCCCCCGCAATCTGTTGCACGTCTCCCGTTAAAATGTGCGTTTCACACTTTTTGCGTGCTAGTGTGTTGCGTCGGCCTTGTAATGGGAGCGTGATTGCCCGGAAAAATGTAATCCGGGTTCAGATCCCAGAAATCTGGTAACTCAGAAAGTTACTAGTGCTCATAGTAGTATTGTGAGCCTTAAACTTTTACATTAATCATGGAAAATTCAGGTTTCGCACAGGTGCCGGCCCTGGTTCGTATTCGAGTGGCCATTCTTTCAGGAAAGCGTTTCTAGGCGGAGCTGTCAGAGGCCAGTTTTACACCTCATGAGTAGTTAAATCGTTTACATTATCAACAACAACATCAGGCGCAGTTCGGCGACGGAGGGGGGGGGGCACCTTGCACATTCCCCATTTCCTAGCGACGTGTCGACCTATCTAGACAGCCTCTTCTCGAGTTGACAGGTTTTACCATGATGACTGGCGACCTTGCTCCAGCTTCATAAGAGTTCACAGGTTTCGCCAGAGTGGGACTTGTAAACCGGAACTAGGGAGCAATGATAGCTTAAAATGTCCCCGTTGCCGGATTGCGCCACAAAATCATCCGTTCCCATGCAAATTAGCCATGCGTGCAGTATGATCCAAGATGCGGTGGACCTACAAGAATGGGGCTGCAAGCATCGTAGCATACAGGCATCCTGGATATGCTACCTCGTCTACCTCTAACAAAGGGAATATGACTGCCACAGGGAGCAAACAGTCTACTCACAGGCACATTCCGGCCTGATATATGAGCAGAGAAGGGTTCGAGCTGACTGCCTCTCTCTCTCTTCATCGCCGAAAGACGGGCGCACTATGGGGAAAGACAGAAATGATCTTCGTATTTATCAGTGTCTCCTCCTATCCGTTTATAACGGAATCTGCCTTTGATATAGGATACCTTCTTGAAGGCAGTGGGCACGACCGCTGAAGGCAGGCGATCGTTGCCAGCGTCATTGGGGAAGATGGTCTACAAAGCATTGGGCAGTTTGGCCAAAGGCCCTCCTTCAGTTCTTTCACCAATGATGCAGACAACAAGCGCAATCTAGCAATCGCCAATGTCTCTAATAGTTGTCGAAAAGTTGGTCAAAGGGGGTACAAATAAAGACGGATCAATATTCGGGCAGAAAGTCTGTCGGCTGTGAAGAAGGGTACCAACTTGGACAAAAATTAGCCAGAACCAATTTTCAGTATTGTAGGTATGCTGGCATTTGAAGCAGGCAAATACATCATTCTATCCATGGATACCCCGGTCTCCTACGAAGGCCGGGATTACTTCTTCGATAAGCATCCAAGAATGAGGAATGACCTGATACAGTGCTCAGTGCCTCTCGAACAGTTGAAACAGGTTGAAAATTGCTTACAACTTCATCCATTCTTACGCATACGAAAAGGGGTACATTTTGAAAAGGAGCCTTTTTTCGTTCCAGCAATACGATTATTTCCCTTGAAGTCCACGCTAGTCGCAGAGGCGGAGCTGGACCAAGCGTTGCGCTTTTATCATTGATTTGCTCCTCCCCATGTGCCTTAGCTAGAAGTGACGCACCGATGAGAGAGGCACAATTATTGCCGGCTCCACCCATAAAGACAGCGTGGACTGCTCCTTCAAGATCCCTTGAAGTAAACCGTTACTCTTCATTTCAGCTGTCCGGTAAGCCGGTGAGAGCAAAACGCAGAGATCCATGGTCATCGAGCACAACATCACTACTCACCACTATTTCTACCCCGCCGACCATGATGAAACCTGATAAAGTTTTGGATAGCGTGAGTACCATTTAGTCAGGGCATAGTTGGCATGACATATTCGGCATACTTTATTTCTTGACGCAAGCTCTGACAACCTGACATCCTTGTAACAAAAGTTCCTATAAAGAACCAGAAATGGAGAAGTACCTTTCTCCCGATGTCAACTAATTAAGCATTAGGCAGATTAGCTGAACAGAAGTGTTTTGGAACTCATATGAAAAGCTCGAAAGAAAAGTAAACAGCTGCAAGCAGGGCACGCCATCGTTGTGATCATCACAACAGGGGGGTCGTATTTGATCTCGAGGGAGGGGGGGGGGAATCGGTGAGCGCGGGGACCATTCTGAAGTGAGAGTGCAGCGATACTCAGATGTCATTCAGCTTCAATGATGAAAGACTTACCATGTGAAGAACCTCTAAAGAAACCCCCCCCCCCACAAGACAGAAGCAACCTGCCACCGTAGAAGTGGGGAACGGGCGATAACAGAAAATACGATGGCCTCCCACAGCGACGTCATAGAATTAATAAAAAAAGGTAAAGGATGAAGTCTCCGCCGCTGATCAACCGCTTTGTGGGATGCGGCACGCATTTCACTTCCATTCGGAGATGCAGTGGCTTATTGAATGCGATGAGGCCTATACAATGATGTGCGGTGCCCTGCCGATGTACAAATCAGTGTTTTATCACTCAAACGAATCTGGTACCATCTTATCGTTCCCGCAGGGTAGAAGGATTCGTTGGCCTGGGCGAGAGTCGTCTCGATATTTGAGCCCGGCATAGCGCGAGTGGAAAGCGCGCCACTTGTCACTACACCTGTGGACGCCTCGCCAATGAATATACGTCACAAACTGATAAACAGATGAAAGTACACTTCCCCACCTTTCTATTGCAGAAGCACACCTACTTGTACGGAGGAAGCCCTTCCTAGAACTTGCACCTTCCCTATAGCTCTGCGTGAAAGCGCTATGCATGGCGCATTCCAGTGGTGATGCCAATCGCATACTAATATCTTAAACCAACTGGAGAGATCTTCTGGCGTGGGAAGGGTTGATTTTTCGGGCCGTGGGGGAGTGATTTTCTTATGATCACAAGGGAGGATTTTTTCGAATAGCATTCCTAGGGATAAAACGAAAGTCTTGCTGGAAAGTAAAAACCTTCATGCTTCCGGCACAATTCTCTTTTTTTTCGAAAGGCCGTGTATGAAACTTGCCGTGTATGTCAAAACGTAGCGACTCGTGGTTGGTCCCCAGGATCAGAGGATCACAGCGAAGAAAATTTCTAGGAAAGAAAGGTTTTTGAAATCGCTCAAACTCAGGTAACAAGAGCCAACCTTGCTCCACTCATTCCCACTTTACCCTCTCCGAGAGCTTTAGTTTCAACGAAGTTATGGGTGTTTAAAAGAGGGTTACTTTTCAAGTGTTTGGTGTTTGAAACTGGCTCCAGGTCCTAAAATAGCGAGCTTGAATAATGAGCTTGTATTAGCGAGGGAATTGCACTGCTGCGGATGACCGCGAACAACTAACATTCAAAAACTAATGCATAGTTTCTAGTAGTTCTTGAGTGTAGTTTGTTTGGTATTTTAGATCTCTTTTTGTTTTCTAGCAGTTTTTTAGGTTGTATTTTTGTAGTTTCTGGCATTTTCGAACTACTCCTACCCCAGTTTGCCTAAATCAAGCCAATTTTTTATCGATTTTTTTCTAGAGGGGCAGATTTGGATGGAAATTTGTTACAGTGGTACTTCGACCTCCTGAACACGAATATCGCACCCGCTTTGCCCAAACATTTTCTTCGATTTTGGTGATTTAGGGTATTTTGGCGCAGCGCCACAGGCGCTGGCGAGAACGCCGGTGAAAACTTGTATTTGGGGGTTATTTGACATCCTGGTTACGAATATGATATTTATTCTTGGCGGCAGCGCTAACGTAGGACACTATGGTCATCTGCGCTTTGCTAAGACTGAGACTGACCTGAGGGAAATCTTCCCTTTTTCTTAGTTTCAGCCTCTGCACAGCCCCAAATTGCATTGGTATGGAAATGATGTCACACTCGTGATCAGGACATCAACATCTATGGACAAAGTTTCAGCACAAATTTTTTTGAGTTTTTGGCGTGAGAGTAGTTCAATAGCGCCCTCTTCTCTTTATTGTCATTTTCTTGGTGCCTTTTGCGCTTCTTTTCATTTGTACCCTCATGACGGGGGGGGTCGTATTAAGACCCTAATTCTGGGGAGGGGTCGTAATTAGCAGGAAATGATCACAACGCGATGGCGTGCCCTGGCTGCAAGTCAAGGATTCCAACGTGCGACTTCGTTTCTCTGAAGCAACGCGCTTATCCACTACATCACCGGCCGCCCGCACAGTCGCCTACCCTTCCTGACTTGTGCGAACAAAACAGATAAATGGTTCAGCACCCCCTTCAGAGGACCGTTCCGCAAATTTCGAGGGCAAATCTCAGTTCAGGGGCTGAACGCAGGCCCATCTGTATACATCCTGTCGCAAATGGCCGGATTCACTTGTTGGTGTACCCTTGTCAATGTATTCAGAACCGCGGACCTTCCAGTGTTGTGGGTCCGGGCACATCATCATGTTGTGGGAATCTCACCGAATGTTGTGGGAATCTCACCGAATACAACTCATACCCCTCCCCTGTCTGTCTCCCGCATAAATTTCTCCCTTAAGTTAGGGCCACTTTCATAACCTACCCACCGTTTTACCTAATCCTGTCCAATTCTTGGAAAAAAGTTTGTGCCTGTCGCAGAGCGCTGCCCAGCGATACTGTTCCGGTAGTTGAACTTTCCCATTTCACGCGTGCTATTATTCGGGAAAATATTCCAGAAATTCGGTAGGAGTTGGGAGGGCTCAGCGAAGCGGCAGATAGAATGGGGAAGGGGTCGTATTAGGAACTTTCAGAAGGGACATGTTGTACTAAAACAAGTCACCTCCTCGTACTGTGCCCTTTCTCAAAGCAGCTAAAAGAATAGTCAGACAAAAGGAAAAAATCGTTGAATAAACGCGGAATCAGTAAAGGAAACAATACAATGTAGGAAATATAGGGACAACAATGGCTTAAGGTGTATTCTCATGGAAATTTTGATTCTCCTAGAGGACAGTCAGGACTGTGCGCCTCAGAGCGGTATCAGCCACTACAACAAATGTGCCATGAATTTCAAAATTTCACAAAATTACCTAATTGTTATTTTTGCAGATACAATATAGGAACGGTACGCGACCACAAGTTATTACGTGGGCATGTTTTGGAGATGTTGAATTATGCTGTGGTACTGACTGTTGTCCCGAGGACGATGGTATAACCGTGGACGATGTTCTTAGGTGGATTAGGTGAGTCACTCGAGGTTACATTCAAGTCAACTGAATCATATGGACCCTTCCTTTGTAGCCTTATCATCATCATAGGTGCAGTTGTAATCGGCTGTTGCTGTTCGTTGTGTTATATCTTGATCATTCTCTTTGCCCCTGAAGGTAAGTACTGCCTTTTCTAGTTGTTTCCGGTTTTTTTTTCTATCAGTGAGCTGGGCAGAATTAAGCTTAGAGAAGCCCCTGTGTGCAGCGTGTACTTATTGTGAACATCTGAGCGGCACCACCCACCAACAGCCTCTGCAGTAGACTTCATGCAGGAGTGAAATGATGTTTCAAGCTACGGAGATGGGAGGAAAATTGAACTGGAGCTCCCAACCACTAACTCTTTCTCGTTGCCTCTCCCTTCTCTGTATTACGAGCAAGACAACACAGACGGGAGAGGCACAACAGACGTAAAGGGACAGTAAGGCAATCGTGATACGCCACTGTGATGGGCATAGCAAACAACGTCACGCCCGACAGACGAGTTGTCCTGCCTAGCCGTTCCAATATAAGTGTCAAGGATAAAGGAAAATTCGATGTTTGGCGTCATGGGGCTTTGCTTTGGCTCGGACATGTGAATTTCGCTGCTATAATTCACAAACCAATGCTCATCAAGAATCTCGGTGCATGGCACAAATGCACAAAGGCAGCATGTGATGTCGCGCGGCTAATTATAACTGGTTGGTCGCCGACAGCTGAAAATGTTATTGGAGACTGGCAAGTGAGAGGCAGTTCAAACAACCGCTGATTTCAAATAAAACCTATCGCTGTGCATGATAGCGCTGAGTACCGATCTTTTTATTCGATCCTTTATATGAAACACTCAAAGTGCTCAATATGTATTTCAGCCCTGCAGGGTGTCCAACATGATAATCCTTCACCACAAGTGCATGGACCCGACGGCTGCCCACAATCCTATCCATCTGGAAGCGACACATCTACGGATAAACCTCCTGAAGGCTACCCACTTGGGGGTTATCCACCTAAACGTTTTCCTCCTAAGGCTCCTTCAGGAAAGCATGAACAGTCCAAAAGCCATAAATCTAATCGAACCCTGGAGCAGCAGAAAGGAGCAAAGACTTCTAAAGAAGGTTCGGAATCGGCCTCCAAAGAAGGTTCAAAATCGAAGGAAAATGAGCAGCAATCGGAGGAAGGAGTGCCAGGCAAAAGGAGCCGAAATCAAAAGAAAGGAAAGAAAAGTTAAAAAAAAACTTTGCAATGTAGTAAATTTATACAAAATGACTTTGAATTGCATTCATTTCTCCCCTTTGTACACGTAGATTTAAGTTGTTATTGTGATATTAGGAACGTGATAAGAAATCAATACTGAACCTTCGCACACGACAGTCAAAGAATCAGAGCCAGTACTCACGGTGAAAGGCGTTCAAGCACCAACTTTTTCATTGCATATGGCGCGTCAGTTGTTGAAGCGGGCCAGTGGCAGCAATCGGTAGAAAACGCACTGGCACCGCGCCTAACCTCCCTCTGACACACCTTAGTGCCTGCACGACCCCCCTTCCGAGAGAGCGTGTCAGTACGACATTCCCCCCCCCACCTAAATGAGGATCTCGATACGATCCCCCTCTCCCCAGCTTTCTACCCATAGTCAGAGTGAAACGGGAGATTCCCCAACTTTCTACCACTTTTTCCCAATTTCACGAAGTTTTCCTACTTTTCCCCTAAATGTTTGCTGTCGAGCGGGAGACGGGTGCAGGGGGGGGGTGGTCTATAGTGCACATGAAACAGGAAAAATCACATAAAAAGTCAACAACCGGAAAAAACCAACGCGACAAATTCCTCTCAAAGACACATACGACCCCCCCCCCCTCCTCCCCACAAAAAAAAAGTACGACCCCGCCCCTATGTGTTCCACACAACGGTGCTGTATCTTGGCGGTGAAAGCAAAGGATTGTGAAAGGCGGCTATTCTGACGCTGCTATCATACAGAACCCGATAATGTACCCCCAATTGGCGGGGTGCCAGTGGACAAAATAAACCCATTGCGTACCGCGGCGTTTTCGCAAAAACCGGCGCCTGTGGCCGACGCCATTTTATCGACGCGACTCGCGGCGCCGAGTATAAACAAATGTGATTTAAATCATATACATATGCTATAAAATTATTGTATACACTTCGCATTATACACCACTTTTATGTGCATCAGTATGATAGGTGAGATTGAATCCTATTACGTGTTTAAAAAGATGAGTCGAAAAAATGCAGCGATTGCTAAAAAGGTTTATAAAATCAAGAGGAGTTGGGAAAGGGGTGCAGTACGATCACAAATTGTTCAGTTGTTCTGTTTTGCGACCTTTCAGTTCAGTAACAGCTTTAGTTTTGGCTTTACTGTTTACAAAGAAAAAAAGCAAAGGATATAGCAGCCGGAGAATTCCCTAAAAAATGTTGATAACTCAGCTCTGGCTGGATCCTGCAATTTCCCCTTTTCATATCTTTTTCCAGAAGGCTCCAGAAATATACCGACCCACTTGATTCATGAACCAATGCTAAATAGTGTAAACGAAGCGTGCTGCACCATGTGCAGCACGCGGCCATACAGAGACAAACGAGCGTGCTGCACATGGTGCAGCACGCGGTACGCAGTGGGTTAAGCTGTACGATGTTCTGCTCTGATGCTAAGATTGTTGGAAGAGCACCACCGGAAAACTCGGTTTCGGCGAAAGGGTAGTGTTTCATCTCATATCCAAATAACCCACACCCAACTCCACTAACCCTGGCAGTTCCACCCTATCATTTCATAGATTTCATTCTAGCCCATCTTGCAATATAAAGGGCAACCCTAACGAAATTTCCGCCATTGGTGCACACTGTTCCGATTTTGTAGTTGAGAAAACGTAGAGCGAAACAAAAGCAATCGAAAAACCTTAAGAGAGGCTAGCCACAAAAGTTGATGTCGCTCAAGAGACCCAAGTTGCGACGACGCGCATAATCTAATAATGGTTTCCCTAGCTGGACTAGGCTACAAGGTCACCTCCGATTCTGCTCCTTGTCGTGAGCGAGGTGAATAGTTCCACGGGAAGTGTCCCTCCGCCACTCAAAAGCGTGCGGTTATGAGGCTTGAGGGGAGTGGTAGGTGGATGCTTTGGGGCTCCTAGCCCTTCACTGACCAAATCGTGCTTCATGTCTGCGCCCTCTCGTTTGGCTGGGAGCCACAGTTCTCTTCTCTTCTTACATTACACAATACACTTACACCTTGTCGCGAATGACAGCTTGCCATTCATGCTATTCGCTGCGGGACCTCAGCATAGACGCACATGCTGCATGCTGTGGACGTCTGGAGCCGAAAAAGAGCCAAAAGACATTCATCCCTCTCGCCTTGTTTTCATGCGCTTTTGAGGACGAATGTGGCACATTCCTACAGCTGCCGAGCCGCTCACCTCCCACGTGATCCGGACCCACTTTGCAGGTAAGCGGGGTCAAGGTGGGGATGGGTAGGGCATGGGACAAGAAATAAAAAGCACACTTGTCTATGGAAAGCCCCACCCACAGTGGGCGAGGCACTCGCCGAAAGTTCGGGGCTCCGCACAGAAATGTTCATAATTCGCTTCTGAAGCAGGTGAAAGATGGGGAAGAAGTGGAATGAGGTTAACAAGGAGTTACTAGACTAACTGTGGGGGACACGCCCAAAGTGGGCGGGCCTACTCAAGGTGGGCGGCGTTTCTCAAGCTAAAATCTCAGTAACCCTGTTCGCAAGAGTGTTTAGAAGTCGCAAAAACTCAGTGCAGAACGGAGATATCTGACAGTTTTGGGACGCTCAAAGTGTGTTGAGACCCGCCCACAGTGGGCGGAGCTTGCCCTTGATTGCAGGATACTCATTTTAAATGTTTGTAGCTCAGTTCAGAACACTCCAGAAACCGGAAAATAGAGGATCAACGTCAGCGAGGGCTGGGTCGATTGAGGATTTTGGGCGCAATCATTGCGGGCGGGGCCTACTCTCAGGTGGGTGGAGATAAAAGTCTGTAAAATAGTTTCGGAGACTCCAGACACGGGAAAAAGTGGATTAAGGTCAGGAGAGGGTCGCCAGTGAAGACTGTGGGGCACAAACACTGTGGGCGGAGCCTTCTCCTAGGTGGGTGGGGCCACACAAACGGTCTGCGAGATAGTTCCAGAACACTCCAGCACACCGGAAAAAAGTGGACCAAGGTCAGCACAGTACGCGCTACAAACTCACCCACGTGATCCGGACCCACTTTGCAGGTAAGCGGGGTCAAGGTGGGGATGGGTAGGGCATGGGACAAGAAATAAAAAGCACACTTGTCTATGGAAAGCCCCACCCACAGTGGGCGAGGCACTCGCCGAAAGTTCGGGGCTCCGCACAGAAATGTTCATAATTCGCTTCTGAAGCAGGTGAAAGATGGGGAAGAAGTGGAATGAGGTTAACAAGGAGTTACTAGACTAACTGTGGGGGACACGCCCAAAGTGGGCGGGCCTACTCAAGGTGGGCGGCGTTTCTCACAAAACTCAGTAACCCTGTTCGCAAGAGTGTTTAGAAGTCGCAAAAACTCAGTGCAGAACGGAGATATCTGACGAGTTTTGGGACGCTCAAAGTGTATTGAGACCCGCCCACAGTGGGCGGAGCTTGCCCTTGATTGCAGGATACTCATTTTAAATGTTTGTAGCTCAGTTCAGAACACTCCAGAAACCGGAAAATAGAGGATCAACGTCAGCGAGGGCTGGGTCGATTGAGGATTTTGGGGCGCAATCATTGCGGGCGGGGCCTGCTCTCAGGTGGGTGGAGATAAAAGTCTGTAAAAGTTTCGGAGACTCCAGACACCGGAAAAAGTGGATTAAGGTCAGGAGAGGGTCGCCAGTGAAGACTGTGGGGCACAAACACTGTGGGCGGAGCCTTCTCCTAGGTGGGTGGGGCCACACAAAAGATCTGCGAGATAGTTCCAGAACACTCCAGACACCGGAAAAAAGTGGATCAAGGTCAGCACAGGGTCGCCCATTGAAAAATGTGGGGCATGAATGTTGTGGACGGGGTCAGCCCGAGGTGGGCGGAGCCAGACAAAAATTCTGTAAAATATTAGGTTGTTGCAGAAGTTTTTTCCCCTGTCCTGATCCTTCCTTATTTCGTTTGCATGGAGGTTAGTATTTCGCCACCATGTGTGCGTAGCGTGCACATGATACTGTTTCGCCACACTAGCTATCACTCACCCATCCTGCATTTGCAGGCCACAATGCCGCACAATTACCAGTGCAAAACCATGTCACACTGGTGATTGTGCGGCATTGTGGCCTTCGTCGAATCCCAGCCCCCGTCCTTCTGGGACGATGGAATCGACAAGCTCTCTGAGCATTGGCGTCGTGTAGTGTATGGTGATGGTGCATACCTCTAATCTTCAGGCTGTCTCGCTATTGAGATTTTTACAAAAGTCGGGGAAACGAACTTATGCAACAACCTAATAGTGCACTCCAGACACCGCAAAAAAGTGTATTAAGGTCAGCAGGGTCGCCCATTGAGAAATGTGGGTCATAAATGTTGCGGACGGGGCCAGCCCGAGGTGGGCGGAGCCAGACAAAAAACCTGCAAAACGGTTCCAAAGCAGTTCAGACACCTTCAACATGTAAGCAGAGAAGTACAGGACATCAACTGTTGGATATATGGCAAGAGTTGAGTGTGTATGTGGTGTGCTGTAACTCCGCTCCCAGTGGGCGGAGCGCACAACGTACTTATTCTTAC